TAAAGAGTCTGTGGATAGATAATAATATTTCCCCACACTCACAAGCTGATGAATGGATCTTTCTGTGGGGAGTTTTCTGCCCCTCACCCCTACTCTTCATCCTCTCTCACACACATTTTACATTATACTTTAAGGAAGAGTTCAGGAAGCAAGCATTTCATCAACAAAGTATGTCTATGTCATTTAAAAGAATTGTAAGAAACAGTTCATGTCCAATGGTGCAGTGTCTAATCCTTAAATTCGGGGCTGGCAGTTTATAAAACACTCAATTTACAGTTAATTAATTAACAGTTAATTGTAAACTGGAACAAGATTCAGAATTCACAAAGGTCATGATTAGCTAAGCCTAGAAGATGGCTCCAGTCAGGATGTTGGCAGTGGATCACAGATTGACTTAATGTGTCTCCCTGCAGGGGAGGTGCCGTCTTAGCCACTTTATCTCCCGCACTCCGGTTTCGAGAGCTATAAGCACAGGGTCTTTCCCTCCAATGCGCTCGGTGCCACTGTTAGCCCTCAGATTGTTTATAATAATGCTCCCAGATAACTGGGGCTTGAGTTAGTTCAAATAACTAAATAGTAAACATTTTCTTTTTTTTTTTATAATTTTATTTATTTATTTTTTTCCCCCAAAGCCCCAGTAGATAGTTGTATGTCATAGCTGCACATCCTTCTAGTTGCTTATGTGAGACGCGGCCTCAGCATGGCCGGAGCAGTGCGTCGGTGCGTGCCTGGGATCCGAACCCAGGCCGCCAGCAGCGGAGCGCGTGCACCCAACCGCTAAGCCACGGGGCCGGCCCTAAATAGTAAACATTTTCATCGGCAACTTTGCAGATAGCAAAATATTGTGGTTCTGAAATAAAATAACTCTATCCAGGTGTCTATAAATTATCAGATTTGGAGCCTGCAAAACACCAACAAGTGTCGATGTAGAGTCAAATACTTCTGCAGTTATGTTTATTAAGGGTATAAATTCATGCTTTTTTCTGTGTGTGGTTTCCAGTGTGGTTGGAAAGAAATATATTTAAAATGCCAGTTTATGGCTTTGATAAATCACTGGGGTGCGCACATACCACATTATTCGTCAGAGGTAGGTAGTGATATGCTATGAGCTGGAAAGTGATGAAGACTTATTTTTATCTACTAAAAACTGACCCAAGGGCTTTTGGTGGGCGTTTGATCTCTTAACCAAAGGGAAAAACAATATGATTTCATTTTCTCTCTCTAAAATACCCTTCGATCCAGGAGACATGGAGTTGGCGGCAGCACCGGGGAGTCTCACTGACAAATTGGATGGATCTAGTAAATCACACTGGGCTTCAATTTTGTCATCAAACAATATTGGAGTGTGGAAGGCATGTGAAAAAATGAAATAAACTCTTACGTAAGAAAGGACTCAGATTAAAATTCAGCATAGAATTTTATGTGAATTTGAATTCTGAAATTATGTGACAATATATTAACAAAGTATCATTTTATGGACCTAATTCGAGAAAAATGAAAATCCTATTTTACATTCATTTCTATGGGGAAATTAGATTTAGATTAGGCAAGTGCTGAATTATTCGAGGTCGTCAGAAAGTCATCCTTGAAAAACCGGCAACTGCTGAGAACAGGTGCAGAAAGTGTCACGGTCCGTGTGATATCTACCACCACTAGAAGCAAATACAAGAGGTTTTTATTTTCCAATTTGGGGAATTTTCTTTCTTATAACTGAGCCTTATTTCTTTAACGCCCAAAAGTCTTCATTTTGAAAATTTGTATAAAAACACTGTAAAACTTCAATGTCTCCTTTAACAGGGTAAACTGAACGTCGTTTGTTGTTGTTTTAATCCAGGGCATCACTATGAAGATCTTCTTCTTTCTCGTGCTCTGCCCCAGGGCTGTTTGCTTCTGTGTGCAACGGTTCCACAAAGGGGGCATTGCTTTTTCAGTGGTAGCTGACTTTGAATTGTATTCTTTTTCTTTCCTTGATTACAAACTGTCAGCTGTCACTTCTCACTCCTGTCTCGTGCCTCCTTTTATCGCAGTACCCTCCACCCTCCTATTTTAACCAGCTATAAACTGGATCACAGATAACTAAGGTTTTCAAATTATGAGAATTAAATAAAAAGCCAGGCTCTGAGTTAAGGTCAGAAGGCCTTATCCAGGGAAAGTAGCAAGCTTTTGTGATAGGTATTTCAGCGGCTCAGAGACTGACTTTTGTGGGAGTGGGGCTGACTGATTTTTGGCTTTGTTTCAGCTTAAGACACTGAGAGAAGTCTGACCTTCGCCTCCTTGTAGGACACCCAAGCATTCAATGGGTGTACTACAGAGGTGATGCATTTGACCAGTAAAGAGGCAGCCTGGTGTGGCGGTTGGCAGTGAGCTCGGGGCCAGGCCAGGGGCTTGAACCCCACTTAGGGCCTGTGTGACAGAGCACCAGCCTTGAGACCCAGCACTGCTTCCATCACATCTACCTGGGGAAGAAAATAATTGGACCTATGCATAGAGTTGTCATGAACACTTTACGTTTGTAAAGTACTTGGAAGCAGGCCTGGTATTCACAGTAAATGCTAAATTAGTGTTTGTAAATAAAACAATAAAATAAATCTTTCTTAAATTGCTACTCTCATTCAAAGACCAACTATGCAGATCTGCTTTTGCCAGTTCATCCAAGAGCAAAGCCATCAAGTCTATGCCTCTCATTTACTTATTAAAAAAAAAACCCTAAAAACTCAACCAACCAAACACCTGAACACTCCTGCATGCAGAGCACCATGCTAGCGCTGAAGATGCCAACTTCAACAGCACAGTCCCTGCTCTCAATAACATTACCGCTATCACTGTGAAAAGTTTTCTCTTTGAGAGTCTTCCATTTTATTTTGACATAGGTAAAATTTTTAGAGATAATCCAAAACTTGAAGAAAGTTAATCTATTAATAATGACCTTAACACTTAAGAATCCCTGAACGGTTTATAGATATTCCTAAACAACTTCCTTTTTTTTTTTTTTTTTAGGAGGAAGATCAGCTCTGAGCTAACATCCATGCCAATCCTCCCCTTTTTGCTGAGGAAGACCAGCCCTGAGCTAACATCTATTGTCAATCCTCCTGTTTTTTTTTTTCCCCTTTTCTCCCCAAAGCCCCAGTAGACAGTTGTACCACATAGTTGCACATCCTTCTAGTTGCTGTACGTGGGATGCCACCTCAGCATGGCCGGACAAGCGGTGCGTCGGTGCGCGCCCGGGATCCAAACCCGGGCCACCAGTAGCGGAGCGCAGCGCACTCAACCACTAAGCCACGGGGCCGGCCCCGCTAACCAACTTACTTTATTCATTTTCATTTTAGCTGCCATTTCACATTAGTGTGTGGGGTGTCAGTCTTTAAAAAGTTCAAATATAGGTTTTTTTTTCCCTATTAAAAAGAAATACGTGCTTGTCACAGAAAATCTGAAAATTCAGATGAGCATATGCAAGAAAAAATTCATGCTCTTACCACCCAGGTCAATCACAGTTAGCCTTTCAGAGATTCTTTTGCTTATTTTACTATGCATTGTATGTATCTGCCTATATCTGATCATTTGTTATATATACATTTGTATATACAGATTAAAGTTTTGGGCATGGGGGAGATTTTTCTGATACCTAATCATGTTTTAAAATTTTTAAATTTTAGAAAATTTATTTCTCAATTTAAAATTTTTTTAAATTTTGAAATTTTTAAAATATAGGAGAGTGGAAAGAAAATAAAAATTGCCTCTGCTTGTTGCCAATATGCTTTCCCTCCTCCATGTCACCCAGCTAGGTGCTTCTAATTTGAGCCTGGGTCCACTGCAGCATTTGTGGACAAGGGATAATTATCAGCCTCTGGTAGGAGTGGTGTGTGGTCCAAGGAAGGTGAGTTCCAAAGGGGTGTCCGGATGGGACCCTGGACATTGGGCCTGTCCCACGAAACCTGGTGGGAAGGCTCCACTGGAAGTTCATCTCACCAAATCTCTCTAATCACAGCAAGGTGGTGGCTGAGCTGGAACCAGAATCCCAACTTCTGTCTCCCAGAGCTGCACTTCTGCCACATGGCCTCCTTAAAGAGCCTGGCACACAGTGCGTCCTTCATTAATCAAAACATGTTGAACGAAAAAAATTACCTAGAATCTACCACCCAGAGATAACTGTTGCTAGCATCATGTTTCTAAGGGAAAAAAAGAGTTGGTTATGCACTGCATGTTCTGATTTTCAGAATGCTTACCTGGGCACAGTCTGGGAGTGATGACAGATTATCCCAAGGGTCTTATGGGTCCCCCCACCCCACTCCTTTAAGAAGAAAGAAAGAAAGAAACCCTGATGACTCAGTGCATTCAATATATGTTTTAAAAGATGTAGAAAATGTTGGTGAGGTTTTTTGTTTTTTAATTATTATTTTGGTAACTTATTTTAATGCTCATTCCATATTTTCCCCATGATTGATTAATAAGAAATCTAAACATTGCCAAAGGTTCTGTCTCACAATAAAAAAAGGGGAGGGGGAGACAAACTTTAATGTTTCTTTGGTTAAACACACTAAAAGCAGAAAAGGGTGGGGAATAGCACATGGCTAATGTCAGGAGGGGCACAGAGAGGGAGTGGAGGCAGTGGACGGCTGAGCTGGCCCTCCCCACGCTCTTGGGTTTGCCTAAGTCCCACTGCTCTCTTCCACCTGGCGGAGTTCTCCACCAACCCTGTGGCTCCCAGAACTCAGAGAGAGGTGGGGTGTGCTCGGTTCTGACCAAGCCTAAACCTGCCCAATTCAGGACTCTGCTGTGCCCCTCACAGGTAGAGAAGGGTTAACTCAGAGACAATGCTCTTTGAAGGCTTTCGTGAAATCTTGTAAGATTTCCTTGCAGTTCACCACGGCATGTGGTTGGGAAGTTTCTCTAGTTGTAATATACATTTTGAAAGTTAATGATAAACACATTCTCCAATTACCTTTAATTTAGCCACACTAGCTATCACTGCAGCCCAGAAATCGTTAGAGTCAATCATTTACCTGAAAGGGGATCTCCAGTACTGTCTGGAAAGCCATTTTCTTCTCCCTAAAAACCAAAAAGCAACCGTCATTAAAATCATACCCATTAGCGAACAGAGATAGTATCAATTTTCCAATTTAGTTAAATTTCCACCCAAATCTGGGCGGGGCAATGGATCTTAAGAATGGTATTTTAATGGGTAGTGAACTATACAGCTCCCTCTAGAAGGGCAGGAGCTTTGTCCATTTGTTCCCTGTGCTGGGTCCTCAGCACCCGGCACACGGAAAACACTCAACAAAAGTCTATTAAATGAATTACTGTCCCTATTTTTTAAAAAAATGTATCAATGCACACTACAATGTGCTATTGTTTTATTTTTATTTCACATTATGGATTATTTTCCTTATTTTATTCCCATGGATTATTCCTTATTTTATACTTTTTGTTGGGCTTGTTGTTTGTCTGTCTAGGTTACAATTCTTTCCTTTATCTACTATACTTTTTAAGTATATACTACAAAGCAGCAAAGAGAAACTGTTAAAAAAGCAGTGTCCAAATCTCTTGAGAGGTAATCGTGTTTCAGCACATCTGACTAGGGTTCTATTTTTACAGCCAAGACCATGCTATGGGATATGCCACGTGGAGGGATTTACTCTGATCTTCTTGGAGGGTGTGTGTGCGTGTGCGTGCGTGTGCGTGCGTGTGCGTGCGTGTGGGCGAGCATTTTCAATAAAAGCAGAAGAGACCAGCCCCAGGATATGTTTGTTTATATTCCCTCCATCTTTATACAACTAAAACCTCTCTCTAGCTCACATCACCCGCTCCATCCACAGAACTGCAGAAGCAGCGCTGGAGTTCAGGGTCGAGCTGCACTCATAATCCCGGGCGCCTCACTTCCCAGTGCTGGTCTCTGATTCCTCGTTTGTACATGGAGGTGCTGAGAGATTAGTTTACCTCTAAGGTGCTCTACATCCTCAGATCTCTGAGAGTTTCACCCTTAAAGACGTGCTAACTCCCTGGTGTCAAACATTTTAAACAGTCTTTTTCTCTTCATCTTCTAGAAGCCTTTCTCCTTGCTCCTGGCTCATAAATCCCCATGTCTCAGCAGTGTACACACATTTGTCTAATTACAAGCCTCATTTTTTTTTCCACACAAGAAGCATTCCTATGTCTTACCAGCTAGATTTTTCCTCCTCACTAGTCTAAATATTTCTAGCTTCTGTTTGAGTCTCGTTCCTCACCGCTGTCCTTACCGGAACAAAAGCAACTTGCACACCATATGTATACATAGTTTGTAAGAGTTACAGGAAGTCTCTGAAAGGACACAAATTCTTCTACGCAACTTTGTACTTTTACAAGGCTAAACCCAGAAGCTCCGGGATGTTAGGGCCACTATGCACTAGTCGCCAGGTCATGCAGGGACCTGCCTTTTTACATCTGCATGACTCCAGCAGGATCGGATAGGCCTGCTCTTTTATCAACATGGTCACGGTTCTGCTCACTGAATTGGAAACTTGCCGGAGGAAACAGAAACAGGACCTTCAGGCAGGGTTAAGAGACATGAATGTTAAAACTTGACAGATTTTGTGGTTCAGTTGAGGTCCCTGCTAAATCACGAACTTTCCTTTAAGTAAGGACTACATTACACAGCATATTTGACTTGATTTCTCATAATCTGGAGAAAATTTGACCAAAGTCAATATCTGGCCAGAATCAGCCCCCTGATGTGGACAAGGGACAGGACTCAGAATCACTTGTGAAGGGGGATGAAGATAGAATTTAGCTTAATATCTATGACCTTTTGTTCTTGCTCTGATTATTATATTATGCTACTTTTTAGGTTAGTTTTCTGAGTGAAATGAGAAAAGACTCATTTTTGTGTTTTTTAGGGTCTTACTGAAACCACATTCATGTCTACATTCAACACCTCTTTATTGAGCAAGCTAATACATCAAGACCCCATGTTGGAACCTATATACAAAAATAAAAGGACCTGACCCCTGATCTCAAGGCCTGCCTGCCGATATGCTGGGGAAATAGACAGGCACACGAATAATTAAAATACAAGGCAGAAGATGGTGAGTCCGTTAGGGAGGCAGAGATAAAGTCAGAGGGGAGAAGTTTCTCCCAACAGAAAAACCAGTGGAGGTTTCTTTGAATCAGAGACATTTGGGATGAGCCTTGCTGAGGATTTGGAGAGTGGGGACTTAGGGGGAAAGGGCATTTAGCCAGAGTTCCACGTGAGTTGGCAAGGAAATGGAAAATCATGGGGCCCCTGTAGGGTATTTTGTCTTAAGCAAAGGCAATGAAAGGGGAACTAGAGGGAGATGAGACGGGAAAAAAGAACTGAGGCGGATTGAGGCCTGAAAGCTTGTCTAAGGAGCTGGACTTCATATTGTAGATCATGGAGAGTCATTAAAGGACTCTCCTCAGAAGCAGGGCACTCTCAGAGCTGTCTAGGATTAGAGCAGCTGGGGTGTAGGTATCCGTGGTGGTCAGGGAGGGCGTGGAGGCCAGGTGACTGGCGTGGGGGAGCATGACTGACTCGTGGGCAAGGATCAAGGAGACCCCAAACCACTTGCCTAGGAGAGGAAGGGATAAAGCTGGAGCCACTGCAGAGATACAGCCATTAGGGGGATGAGTGAAAGGAGGCGAAATGAAGAGCAAGTTGTGAGGAGGTGACGGATAAGACGATGAGACGTCCGTGGCAGTTGAACACATGGTACTAGTCCTTGGAGAGGCCAGGGCCGGAGAGGGAAATATGGACGTTGAAGTGATTATAGAAGAAGAGAGAGGCTGTGGAGAGCAAGATGTGAGGTCACAACCTTGAGGAGTATCCGAACACCTGCGATTCGGTGGCAAGGGAGAAAATGAGAAAAGGAAGCAGAGAAGGGGGCTTGGAGAGGAGGGGAGAGAAGCAGGAGGTGACAGCACCAAGAGTTGCAGAATGGTCAGGGGCTCTGAGGGCCACGTGGAGACAAGATTTGGTGAGGAGATAAGTGGTGATTTCTGAAAGGACTTCTAGCAGAGTGGTGGAAGCCAAAGCTAGCTTCTACCAGGTGGGCAGTGAGGACATGGAGGTGGCCAGAGCACACATGTGCGGCTGTGTCCGCTTGAAATGCTCCCCTCACCCAGCCCTTCTATCTGCTTACTCTTTTTTATCTTTGAGGCCTCGGCGGAGACCCCACTTCCTCTAGGAAGGCTTCTGCAAACTCCCAGTCTGGAGTAAGTGCCCTGGGGGCTCCCATGGCATCCTCTATGTGCCACCCGACAGGGCGCTTGTTACATTGAGCGTAGAGGTTTGAAGAATCTCTCTTCTGCACGAGACACCAGACTACGAGGCAAAGGGTCTCGCCCATGTTGCACCATGGTGATTAGCACATCTGAGACAGATAACACCTAATATCTGCAGAGGGGAGGCCAAGTGGGAGGTAGGGAGGAAAGAAGACTGAAATATAGCATGGAGTCAATGTTTTCCAGATAAGGGGAAGGACTGCATTCTTCACAATGCTTTCCTTACCCCTCCCTCATTCCCTCTGACCCTGCTCTTTGGCCTCATCTCCTTGGTAACCAGTTGTGTGGCCTCCACCTCCATTCCATCCTTCGGGTCTCACCCGGATTCCTGTCCACTTAGTCATTGTCAAGCATCTTAGTGATATGTTTAAAAACACCCTAGGTTTGTCCATCAGCTGTGGGCCCCTTGCCAGTCCTTAGCTCTGCATGAACTCCACTCTACCAGTCTTGCTCTAAACCGCTGAGTGTTGCTGGGGAAAAAGAAGTGACAGACCTCACACATTCATGAGATTTGATCTCAGCTGGGCCCAGCAGCAACGTGGTCACTCTTGGTTTCCCTTCTAATTGTCCTACTTAAGGCCCTATTGGGTCCTACTCCAAACCTTTTCCACTCTGCTGAAGGCCTCATACCCATTCATGCCCCTTATCCCCTGAGACATAGGTAGGACCAACATATTTGCCCCCATTCTTCCCCTTCATTCCCATCTCCAAAGAGATGGTGTCTTTCCATCTTCAAGGCTGATCTTTTATCCTTGAATTATGGTTCTGTGCAGATTTTTTTTTGTTTTTTTTTGCTGAGGAAGATTTGCCCTGAGCTAACATCTGTGCCAATCCTCCTCTATTTTTTTGTATGTGGGACACCACCACAGCATGGCTGGTGAGTGGAGTAGGTCTGCACCTGGGATCCAAATCTGCGAACCCAGGCCACCGAAGCAGAACGTGAACTTTAACCACTCGGCCACAGGGCCGGGCCCTCTGTGCAGATATTTTTAATGGCACTTACTGCAAAGGGTGGGGCATGTCTTATTAGTCTTTATATCACTAGCAGTGAGCTCAGATGCTCTGTTCAAAAAATGTTAATGGGGGCCGGCCCAGTGGCGCAAGCGGTTAAGCACTTAAGTGCAGCACGCTGCACTGTGGTGGCCTGGGGTTTGCTGGTTCGGAACCCCGGGCATGCACCAACGCACTGCTTGTCAAGCCATGCTGTGGCGGCGTCCCATATAAAGTAGAGGAAGATGGGCATGGTTGTTAGCCCAGGGCCAGTCATCCTCAGCAAAAAAGGGGAGGATTGGCAGATGTTAGCTCAGGGCTGATCTTCCTCACAAAAAAAAAAAAAAAAACAAATGTTAATGGAGGTTCAATGAACTCAGAATCCCCGCAAGGTGGCCTCTTGCTACAACATGAGATTTGCCTCCAGGACCAGATCAGCCCTGAGGAGTGGTCTGACATGGGCAAGGGAGCAGAGGCCCAGCTCATGGACAAGACACGGGATACAAAGGATGAGGCAAGTTCTCTGATGGTTCTGGAAGCAGTTGGTGTGGGAATTTCCAAGAGAAAGATGTGGGCTCCACTCAGATATCAGAGGGCTGAGACACACCAGTAGGGAATGCGGGCAGATGACACCCAGGGCCAGTACCCATCCTCAGGAGGGAAGCTGGTAGTGGGAATCTAACATAAGCACAGTTCTAGGAACTGGAGTCCAGGGGCCTGGGGGAGCTGTGACTTGGGCATGGAGGCCCAGCCCTGTGACGTCCCTACGACACTGGGTCCGG